AACAAATTCCAACCATTACATTTTTTGTAACATCATTCCACAGCTGAAGACTAGATTCTCAGTAAATATAATCTGTATACACTCCTTCTGGCAATAAACAGATATTATTTTTAAAACATAATAATGGCAAAAACAACTCAGCAAGAAACCCTCCTCACTTCTAGATCCAAGCCTACTCATGCTTCTGAGGACTCTCACTATTAGTGAGGCATTCTACACAGTGAGTCTAGTGGAAGCCAGTATGGCTGGGAACTTGGATCAAAAGAAAAGACATAATACCATAAGGCAGCAGTGGGGATCACATATTTACATTACAATTCACAACAATAGCAAAATTACACTTATGAAGTAGCAAGAAAGTAATCCCATGGCTGGGGTGGATCACCACAACCTGAAAAGCTGTATTAAAGAGTCCCAGCATTAAAAAGGTTGAGAATGACTGCCAAAGGGAAAAGAGATCACATGGAAAAGGGCTGACTTGACAGTAATTACAATCACAGCTTAATTCATTTAATAAATAAGACTTATAACTTGGGATAGGTTCCATAGCAGAGGATATAGGGCAGCATAGACAGGAAGACAGAGGGAAGCTAGAAAGAAGTTAAGTAGGCAAAAGGCTAGCTTTGATAATAATTAGAGATACAGAAATTGCCAAGGACATTACATATCAACTACATGGAGGGCTGTAAAATGTAAAGCCTTTACATGTAGAACTGGTGGGTAGAGAAGAATCATTCTTTGATGAGGGTTTCGCATGCTCTGGTGGGTTACAACCATGTACAACCATGTACCCCCATGTACATATGGGCAGTAACAATTGGAGCAGGTGGTTACCAACAACAACAAAACAATAACATGAGGCTGGGAGGGGGCATGTTGGGAGGACACAGGAGAAACTGGAGGTGGGAAATTGAGTATAGATACTGTATTTCAAGAATGAAGAAAAAGAACATTAAAGGAAAGTAAAAAAGCATTGTATTAAAAGTTTTAGCGTTATCTTCCAGTACTTCAAGTAAACCAAAATTTATCCACCATTTAAATTCCCACAAAGTCAATCCAAGAATTCATTCTACCAGCTGCAAAAGAAACTCACTGTTTTAAAGAACTTTTATTACACTTTAAGATTATCCTGTTACAAAATGTACACTTAATTCTTTCTTTTGCCTACCAAACAATGTTAAATAGCAAATTCTGTCACAAATTCATCTAACAGTAACTTCCTGGCCACAGACTCTAATCATGTTTTGAGTTCAGACTGTTACTGGGTTGCATATTTCTTGAAATTTGCTAACTATGGGTTTGTGGATTTGGTCAACAGTGTGCATATTAGCTCACTCTTCATTGCAAGCCAGTTCCTGCACCCCCACGCCACCCCATCACCATGAGAATACCAATCCTACCTATCCTGCCCTGCCATGTATCTTCAGACCAGAGGAGGGGAGATGAATGCTTCCGACGCAACAAATTAGGAGAACTAGTTAGGGAAACCAATAGAATTCATCTGAAGCTTAGTCCAAGCAGAAATCAAATTTTTTTCTCAAATGTCAAATGTCAAATCCTTATATAGTATTTCCAACAGAACAAAAATGTAAACAAAATGTCAATTCAACTTCCATATCCCAGGCAATTTTAGCATGCTTCGTACCGTAACTAAAAGTTTATATTTATAGACATTTAATTCTATATACATTTTGTAGATAATGAAACATTGAAAAATAAAAGGGACTACTGAGAAAGTCAGTCATGTGATCAAAACTACAAAGTAATCTACAACAGTACTCAAAGACAAGTATAAACAAAATACTAGCATTAAGACAATGATAATCCACTCCTTTATATAAAGAGCAACAATGGATTTATCTGAAAAGAACGAGTATATGCTTCATAGTTTTCCCTGGCCTATTTTAATGGGGTGAATTTTCAGTTACCTGCTAAACATGCCTTCAGCTAAATCTGATTAATGTTAACCAGCCTAGTCACTAATGATAAAGGAGCTTTGAGTGAATACATGCTTGCCCAAATGGTATGGAAGTTGAAACAATATAGAGACATTGTTGGTATCTGGTGAATGAGAGGATACATCAAATATTGAGAAGCAGTGCAACCTGTAATGTGGAGCCACCTACTGGAGGTTATTATATTAGTATTCATTCCATCATCTTATTAGTGAAAATGCATGATAAACAAAGGTCCATACCAATGCATTTACAGAGCATTATTACTTAAAGGGGAATTACAAAACATAGCAAAAAATAAATAAATAGCCCAAGTCAATTAACAGCCCCCCCAAGTGAGCTCTTCCCCGTTGAAAGCATGAAAACAAGCTGGATTTAGCACTTCTTAGAAAGTCATGCTGCTGTGCTGCTGTTATGGCACAATGGTACAGAAGAGAAGGGAAATGGCATATTAGTGTACCCCAAAGGGTTATTCTGGCACTGGGTCAGGTAGCAGATGGCGATGGCCTACGCAGTATAGCAGTAAGGCAAAGGAAAGAAGCAAACACTAGAAAGAATTCACTCATCTTCTGAATGATTCAGCCTCAGAATGGCCATGCTAACCCATCACACACAGACTAAAATAAATCAGGCAATTATGATGCAAGATAATCTACATCCAGAATTACAGACAAACACTTACCACCTAGAAGGAAAGTTTATTTTTAAAATGATTCCAGAGGGAAAGATAAAAACACATTTTCACATGGTTAGCACTTACGATAGCAACTATATGTCCCACAGATTTTTAACAGTATGCATTGTATAACAAAGAAATTAATTACACAAACCTAAACACTACACAACCCTAAGTATATAGTATATACTTTTACATACTCAACCAAGGCTAAGAACTAATTAACACCAAAAATACAGTCCAGCTAATGATTCAGAGAGATTTACTGTAATTACAATTTCCCCTTTTGTATCAGTAACATGCTACTTTAGGCAACTAACTGTCTACATTCAGGACAACTAAAGGCAACATTAGAATATCCTTGCATCCCAGGTGTCAAGGAATTGTAATGATCTGTTTGCTGCTCATTTCCTTGTTGTTTAACAGTGCCCCTATATGGTGCTCTCGCTGGCCTCAAGCACTCAGTAGTCAACACTTTGTTTCCCAAGTTCTGGGATTCCAAAAGTGTGCTGCTGTGCCCAGTGCATGATGCTTTATTGGATCCCCTCAAGAGGACTGCAGCTGGGATTGGGAGAGATGGCCCTGCCCTGGAATTCTGCAGCTTGGTTACAGATCTAGGAGGTCCACAATGTGTCTACATTCAATCACAGCAGGGTATCTGAATAAAAATTAGATGTCCTATCCACACTTGCTGCTTTACTTCAAATTATTATGAGCAGAAAGATGTATGTATGCTTACCTGAAAGTATTACTAAAGCATTACGAGCTTTTTTTAAAAAAGAGGTAATCCAGGATTTAATAGAAATAAGTCTCCCAAATCTAACATTATATGAGAACCTCAACATCTTTCAACAAGAATTAAATATTAGTACGTATTCCCATTTTCAGACATTTCTTAATCAAAAGGTGATAAATACGCAGCTATTTTATGTTGGGGGGACCTCAAAAACATCCAATAGCAAGAGACTTCTTTATGCTGGGAATCACTGGATATACCAGTGTTATATGAACACATCTATACTCAAAATGATCCTTTTCGAACAAAAAGTTAGGTAATGAAAGTATGACTGGAAAGAGGATCAGGAGGTACCTATCATCACATAACTCAAAGAACCATGTTGTAAATGCACCTCTTGTCTGGCCATAGGAAGGGAGCAGACAGTCCACAGCTTAAGTCCAACACTTAAAGGTTCTCACTTAGGGACTATAATATATGTTCATTTCCCTGTGATGAGTTACACCCTATTATCCAAGAAGGATCCGTCAAAGTTCTAGACTCTAAGTGGGCATGGTTTCTGGACACCTGTTGCAGCCTCCAATCTACCCAATTACTCTAAATTATCCTTCAAAACTGTAAAACAGAGAACTTCTGAGTACTTTTAGATATATTATGAACAGTATGATCTGTTACTCAATGTCCCCTCACTTGGCTTCTGGGAGAACCCTTTCTCCACCCTAGTCCTCTGACAACAGCTAGTTCAACTTAAAGGTCCCCTACAGAGCTCCACATTAATTTCTTCAGAGAGGAGCTCTGTAGATCAAGAGAACCGGGTAATCTTTCGGAATAATGGAACAGATAGCTGACAAATAGTAGTTGTAGTCACATAATTTCTAAAAGTAAAGTAAAATATATTAAATGACAGACTGTTATATTAAATTACACAGAAATTTGAGTTTTTCTTCAAAATATATGGACCTAGAACCTTATTCTAAATACATATAGATTAGTTTATATTTACTTAAAAAACTCTCATTCCCCAAATGTGAGGTTGATAACTAAAAGGATAAAAAATCTTATTTCTATTATATAGTAATTATATATATAATTATACTAAAATTATAATTATAAATTCACATGTATATCTTATATTTTAAACAGAAGTTGAGATAGTTTGGTTTTGTTTTGATATTTTAGCTAGTTAACAAAACAGGTGAGTTGAAGAATTCAGAAAGGACTGAATTGCTATATCTATTAAAACGTAAAGTGGCAATTTTAGTTCTAAATTATATTGTCTTTTCAATATTGTACATCAACCACATGACTACTTAGTCAAAAGAAAACAAAACAAAACCCAAAACAAGAAAGCCTCTGCCTGCCATCTGGTGGAGAAATATGATACAGAATACACATAAGGAAATGATACCAGACACCTACAAAATACAGTTTGCTTTTAAAAATCACTCTGTGTGCTAGCATGTGGGATGAAAGGGATATTTCTTTTTGGAAATTCACATTTATCTACATGTTATGGGAGTGCTCTAGGGAAAAAGCAAGGAGGGGGCTGAGAATAATACATATGAGCACAAAGACAAAGGCAAGCTTGTAGCATTGCAGATTCTATGAGACAGCATCACAAACCTACACTTACATGGCCATGCAGATCTGTGTTGAGGAGCATCATAGCACAGGTGAGGCAATGGACTCCATCTGCAAAAACATGGACTACTGTTAACTGTTAACATAGCATGTTAAAAGCTGTATTAGACACAACTTTGTAACTCCAAAAACAGGGACAACTGCTAATGATGCATACCCAAAGGTGTACTAGACATAACTAACTTTGTCTGGAAGGCAGAAAATGGATGAGATAAATTGTAAGGACTTCCAAAGACAGTTGAACTCTTCTATTGATTAGTAAATTGGTACCTCCTCTCTGAAGGGCAATTGTTATTATATGTTCAAAGCCTTGAAGCTGTGTCATTTAACATGGCAACTCTTCCATGGCTTTACACTAAAGAAAAGCTGAGGATCTCCATAAATACAGGAATACAGAGACAAAAATTGCTTACAATGGAAGAGAAATGTAACCCTCCAGAAACCAGTTTGTAATGTTGAAGACATTAGGAATGTTGTACAGGCACATAGGCTGAAGTGAAAAGATACCTGATAATCAATTATATGAGGACATATTATGTGCAGTATGATTCTACTGAATATAAATATTTCTAGAAGAATACATCAAAATACAAAGATATCTCTGGACCATGAAACATATATTCTTTACTTATGTTTTTTCAATTTTCTGTAGCATGTTATCAAAGTAAAAATTAATAGAAACATAGACAATAATAGATACAGATAATAATACACATACATACAGATAACATAATAATAGACATAGACAATAGACAGATAATAATAGTAGATAATAATAATAGACATAGATACAGATAATAATAGACATATTTTGCAACATTCTTTCAAGGCTACATTTAGATTGTATTGTTTTTCTAGGAAGTCATGGATAAAGCTAAAAGTAAAACACTGAAATAATCTGGGAGGATTAAAAATTAAGTATTCAAGAAAATGTGGTCAAAGCCTGAAATAACATTCCCTATGTCAATGGGACTATCGCTTTCATCTTACTTTATACAGTAATATAAAAAGTATATAGAGCTAAACATCTTACCTTCAAATACCAGAGTTAGCTTTTCTCTTTACTAATTCTTAATCCCAGTATAAGAGATAATAGTTTTAGAGGAAGTGAAAACCTTATTTACATCAAATGCACAGGAAAGACAGTTTGTTTTCAAAAGCATGTCTTTTAGTTTAGAGGATGGTTTCTCTTATGTCATTTATGTGCCTCACAGCATATTTATTCCAGTTCCATTTGCCTATCCAAAAGTAATTCCTAGAATTACTGTAAAAGTCAGCAGCCAACACTCAAACACCCTCCTCAAGAGTGCCTGTACACACTCCCACATCTCCTGCTCTTTCAAGCATGGTAACATCCTCTTAGACTTTCACGTGGAATGGAAACAACTCTCCTCCTCATAGGTTCCCTAGATGGTTCTGACCCAGTGACACAACTGATAATCAGTCCGAACACTGCCAGTTTACACACGTGAATGTGATATTGATGATGAAATGCTGAACCAACTAGCTATAACCTGAGGAGGTGAGGTGAGCAAGGACTTTGGTTACTATCAGTCTCTGTTCAGAGACAATTGCTATTCCTTGTCCTAGTAACTTATTCTAGGATTGAGAAACTTGTGAGAAACTTTCCCATTTAAAAGTGATTATGTTTCACTAAAACCTTGAAATTGTGCATTGCTACCATACTTTAAATGGACAGACTCTCCTTATGGGTAGGCCAATAGCCAAATAGGTAAATATTACTTTATAAAAACAGTACCACAAACAAACCCATAGCTCATTAAAGTCAGAAGGGAAAGGCAGCTTTAAAGATGTTAATCACTATCAAACAGAAGTACTGGGGATTCAGCATAGCTTCCATAGAGATACATTAATATGCAAAACAATCACTGAGCTAAACACACAAGGAAGTTTAAGTGACCAGGACTTTTGAGAAGCAGAATGACTAGGACTGTAAGGAGAACTAAGAAAACAAATCATGTATTACAAACTACTTTGCACATAAAATCCCGGACTGGCAAACCTGAACATAGAAAGACAACATAAATAAAGTACACTGACATATTATGAATTGTTAAAAAGAATAAAATAATTAAGAGAACAAAATATCATGTTATTAAATATTCCTTTAAAAGATTATGACATAAAAAACTAAAATAAAAGGAGAAGGATAGGAAATGAAACTAATGATTTCAAATTGGATTTACATAAACTAGAAGGAAATAAATGTAACTTACATTTTTACAAGAAAATATAACTTTCATACTAAGGGAAATAACTACAGTCATAAAAAAATGCAAGCTTTCCATTAGATTACCTTGTGAGGTGATAGTGTCTGGATTGCAATAAAAGTATCTATTGGAGAAATGTATTAATACTCTCTCACGCTCCTGGGTTTCTCCCACAAGAGAAAACGCTTTAAAGAAATACCTGAGAAAGAAAAATAGATGAGAGAAATGTTTAAGAACTGCATGCCTGCAGTCCCCCAAACAGTTTACATGCTACACATATGTGTGTGCATACACACACACACACACACACACACACACACACACACACACGGTCTCATGTATCCTTTTGCAGAGAAGACAAAAAAAGAAAAGAAAAATAAACCTCTATAAAATATGTCACAGTAAGAACAGAAGGGCCAATACACAAAGAAATCCTGTGAAAGGCAGGTGATTTCCAATTGTGACTGTCAAAGGGTAGGTTTTAAAAGATCAATCACATTAAAAAGAAACATTTATGACTCACTTGCACAATCATTCCAGCTGTGTGTTCTTTAGCATGGCTAAAGTGTCAGGTGCACTGCTTCATGCACAGCAGACTTGGGTTAACTTATTTTGTCTGTTCTCACCTCATCATTGATACATGAGGAGGAAACTGGGAAATATGACCTTAAGTTGTTCCTTATATCAAGCAATATGTCACATATAAAAATCATTTAAACTTTTCTCAGAAGTCTTACTATCATAAAGCACATGAAATAAAACTGATTTTCATGGGAATTCTGCATTCTTCCCTACTAGAGATTTGTACTTCATCTTCCTAAAGCATGCTGATCACTATTTCTCTATAACTTTTGAAATAAATATGTAACAGCACAAAGATATAACTCACTCCTTTACTCTGAGATGTTTTCATTAGGTAACAACACCCTGCAAGCACCAAGGAGCTACTCTGATATAACCATCCTCACTTCACCTCCCAGGGTTTTCTTTTTCTGACTTGCAAAATTAAGGGATTATACTAGATGATCAAAACTCTCTCAGGTTCACATGTTTTAAAGGTAGTTCATAAGATGAAACTCTCACTAGATCTTAGGTTCAGTTACTCAAACATGAAAAAATGAGTATTGGTGTGCCTTCATTAAAACTCATCAGATAGTAGACATTAAAATCTATTTCACAGACACTTCCTATAGATTATATTGATTGAGCTATTTTTTTACATACAACAGTTAATAACAAAATATCCTCTGAAACGATTTTGAGCTGCCTATTTAAACTAAATACTTAAGGGACAAAGGCCTCTAATTTCACAGTCAGTATTCTTTTTAACTGCCAAACTCCAACCTTCTTATTCAACAGAATTGAAAGCAAGGTCTCAAGGAGACATATATGTGCCAATGTTGACCACAAGAAGCAGTCACAACAGATAAACTGTGACTGGAATCAAGTAACTTTTGACTCAATGGGAATGAAAATGGTGCTATATTCATACAAAGGAGTATTACTCAGTTTAAGAAGGCAAAGAAATCCCGTGATAAATTACAACATACATAATCCCTGATGCCATCATACCTAACAAGCCCTCCAAATATTGTCAGATGCCAGTATATGAAGTAGTCAGCATAGCCAAAACAGTAGTTTCTAGGGAATAGCACAATTTTAGCTCCAAGAGGAATAGAATAAAATAATCAGTGACTGACAGATGTTCAACTCCATGAATGTATTAATGCCAGTGACGGTGCCTTTAAAATGGTTGAGAAATTTAGTTGCATATATTTTACTATAATAGAAAAATTAAAAAGAAACTCTCAAAAGAGACACACTTCCCAGATTTGATTTCAGCTCATATTCTCCTATATTACACGGACTCGAGTTTCCTATTACATGCAGAATATCAGTTCATGTTTCTTTCTTTGTTATTCTATGTTTAGGACCCAGAGTCTGATCTACCCTCACAAATGGACCTGGGGTGACTCCAAGCAAGGCACTGCTGTGGGACAACCCTTCTGTGGGCTGTGAATATGTGTAGCTCTCATTGATAGTAAAAGCTCATTTGGCCTATAGCAAGGCAGAATAAAGCCAAATGGACATACAGTGAAAAGGGGTGGAGAGAGAAGGAAGCCAGCCATCAAATAAACAAGATGCCAGCAGACCAGTAAAAGCCACACCAGCATGGCAATACACAGATTACTAGAAATTGGTTAATATAATGTTAAGAACTAGTTAGTAATAAGCCCGGACTGTAGGGCAAACAGTTTGTAATTAATAGTAAACCGCAGAGTGATTTTGATTTAGAATGGGCTACAGGATGGGGTGGGACAGAGACACCTCCCTTTAACAGAGCACATCACTTCCTCTGCTAGGAAGTCGTGACTTGGAAGCAAAGACAAGATGATGTTCCATCATACCTGAGAGACTGATCCAGCGTCATCCCTGTGAAATCAAAAAACTTCAGATACTCTTCTGCAACTAGTCTGCTAAATTCATTGCTGTAAGGAAACAGAGTAGAACTGTTTATTGAAATGACAACTATTCTACAAGAGAGACAGAGAGAGAGAGAGAGAGAGAGAGAGAGA